AAGTGATTCTGTTCACTTTTTATGGTTAAATTGCTGCATTATACTTCCTGTTTTACTATATTGTTCGATGTGAACATACACTCGTGACTCATACATCAGAGAGCAATTAATGTCAAGAACATAATATCAAATCGTCCCGGTTTTTGGGATTTTTAACTAGTTGAGAAACAATCTTATCAGGTAAGAATTTGAAGATACGTTTAGTCCCCGTTAGTTCTTACTTTTAATGTAAAAAAATGTTTTTACAAATTTTACCATAGACAATTCGTGACGTAGTCAATTTAATATGCTCTTGATAATATGCAGAATGCGGATGGCTGGTTGAGTCGCTTAAAGCGGGCAGCACACTTCACCATTTTCGTTGCTCGTACAAAACGGCCAAGTGTGCGGGGGCCGGCAACGACCACTCACCACGGAAATTTAGTGGTGACCACGAGTTGCCGAGAAACAAACCGGTTTGATTTCTCACCACGAAAATTGCTCGTGGTGGCAACTTGTGGTGAAGTGTGCTGTGACGCGGCAACGGCCACAAAAATTGCCGACCACGAAAATTGCCTGTACGAGCAACGAAAATGGTGAAGTGTGCTGCTAGCTTTACACGAACAACGTTTAAAACCTGTCGCTGTCAACCTAACCGTTATAAAGCTATATACGCTGGCTGCTACAGCCGAACCTGTGTTAGCGGACACCCTCTATAGAACGGACACTCATTATAGAGCATATACCCTCTATAGAACGGACACTCATTATAGAGCGGACACTCTTTATAGAACGGTCACCCGTCAATGAAGGGTACTTGTCGCATTCCCCCCCCCCAAGAGCAGTTATGCAGTGAAAGTACTCATATAGGACGGACACCTGTCTCTATAAAGGACATTCATGGGGTTACCCTTGGGCGTGACCCTTATACACAAGGTTGACTGTATGTTATTAGAAATAGATAAAATAAAACGTAGTTTTTATTCGCTCTAATATTATGGTTTGTTGTTCCGTTGATTATCCGTTATTCGGCCTCATTATACATAGCAGAAGTGGCGAGACGGAATCCACAGTACACGAAAGCAGTTGGCCAATAATCAATCGTCCACACATATCTAAAGAAATAATACACGAGGTCATCAATATATTTCGATGATGTACATCTTTATCGGAGATTGTTGCACACAGTTCGATACCCATTACATCAGGAGTCTATCTATATTGATAGACTCCTGATTGTATCCCTCTCTCATACTTAGCATGTTTCATCATGCTTCTCATGTTTAGCATTGTCACAGCTCAACATTATTACCTCCGCCAAGGAGGTAATGTAATCGGTCTCGTGTGTGTGTTTGTGTGTGTGTTCGTGTGTGTGTTCGTGTGTGTGTTCGTGTGTGTGTTCGTGTGTGTGTGTAGCCACTAGTGTTCACGCGATCGATTCAGCAGCAGCTCGCCTTAGCGCGATCGATTCAGCAGCAGCTCGCCTTAGGGCGTCGAGTCAGCAGCAGCTCGCCTTAGGACGTCTAGTCAACAGCAGCTCGCCTTAGGGCGTTCAGTCAGCAGCAGCCAGCAGCGAGCCAGCTGTTATACACATACATGTTACATGCTGGCGGAGGTATGCACTCTCCATGATTGCCCTCTGTCTAGTTCCCATTGATCTGCTCGTCTCCCAAATGTTATCTCGCAGCGCATGTGGAAAGTTATAAAAGTTGGCAAAGAAATAATAGAGCCTATTATATACTAGTATATTATTTCTATGGAAGTTACAGACATGTAACAGATAAACATCTGCGTTTTTCACGCATACATATAGGAACGTGCCTCAGTTTACAAAAGGAATTCGCAGTGCGAACCAGTTGGCGTCCTTTACCTACGCGGCCAGACACCATTGCAGTCACTTGCGGTCACCAGGGGCGTGTACAGGATTTGTACCAGGGGTGGGTCTAACCGTAACCCAAACTTGCGATCACGCGAAGGGAGGGTCTGGGGGGCAATCCCCCCAAAAATTAGACCCCCTTAGATGCGTTTTCTGCCCCCACCCTTGTACACGCCCCTGGTCACGGTAGTCACTCTTGCAGCCCCGTGATAGTCTGACGCGACTATAGAATAGAAGGTGGTAGTTTGAGACAGATACGGAATAGAAGGTGATATTCTGATATGGATATAGAATAGAGAGTGGTAGTCTGAGATGGATACAGCAAAGGGTGATATTCTGAGATAGATACAGAATAGAGGGTGGTAGTCTGAGATGGATATAGAGGGGGTGGTAGTCTGAGAAGGATACAACAGAGGGTCATATTCTGAGATGGATATAGAATAGAGGGTGATAGTCTGAGATGGATACAACAGAAGGTCATATCCTGAGATGGATATAGAATAGAGGGTGATAGTCTGAGATGGATACAACAGAAGGTCATATCCTGAGATGGATATAGAATAGAGGGTGATAGTCTGAGATGGATACAACAGAAGGTCATATCCTGAGATGGATATAGAATAGAGGGTGATAGTCTGAGATGGATACAACAGAA